TTAAATGGAGGGTGCAGAAGTGTGGAAACATATGGATGTGCTCCGTTTGCTTCCATAATGAGGTGATGGGCGCAAAAGAAGTCCCAAAAATGTCAGTCAATGGCAGTTACTTCTCCATGATCAATGGTGCGTGAATTAGTTTGACCTAGTTTCCAACACGCACCACATAGAGGTGGTACATTTGTCCACTTGTTTTCCGGGATAAAGTAACGGCTTAGCAATAGGCTACACTACTTCTGTGTATTCTCTTGCAGCATTGGAGTTACTTACAGAAATATGAAGGGAATGTTTTAGAAAAATCCCAGGAATTTAGCTTGTGGTTTCCTTTAACCCTTGACCGCACAATATTTCTCACTGAGGATTTGTAAGAGGCTATGTAGGTCACAAAGTAAGTATAACTTTGTTAATGCAGTGAAGGGATTGAATTATTGGATTTATCAAGCGATTATGAGAAAGTTTCAAATGCATGTTAACATACAAATGTGAGTAATTAGGCTGATAAACCATGGCCATCACCTATTAGAACGTAAAAAACAGCCAATTTTTTTTAGCCTTTTAGAATAGAAGAATTGGGAGGGAAGAAAACCCTCTTTAATGGTCACACATGCAGAGCACACAGCAAACAGTGACATTTGGCCTCTGCTTTTAACCCATCCTAGCACCAGGAGTCTAGCACTAGGAGCAGTGAGCAGCTATTGCACAGCGCCCAGGGAACAATGGGAGTGGGGTGTCCGGTGCCTTGCTCAAGGGCACCACGGCAGGGCAGGAGGTGAACTGAGACCTCTCCAAGTAGCAGTCCACACTCCATATTTTAGGTCTGATCGGGGACTTGAACCAGCGACCCTACAGCTCCCAGTCCAAGCCCCTACTGACTGAGCCACTTGCCTTTACACTTTGCATTATGACTCAAGTTTAACCATTAACATGTTCCAAGTACCTGAAACAAATTAAAATTACAGAAAGAAAAAAACATGAATATAACAGGTGATGCAATTTTTTGCTACAGACGGTATTTTTCAAATATATATTCATAACTTTAAAAAAAAAGAAAACAGTGGTATGCAAAGATACGGCTTTATTCAAATAACTAAACAAAAAAAATTAAACAAATTCCTCAGTTGTATTATGTAATGATCAGTGCTAGGGCTGCACGATTTGGATAAATATATGAATATATAGGCTAGTGCATATGGCGATTTTGATAAAATGTCAATATATTGTGCTGCCCTACTCAGCGCATATCAGCAGTTGCGAGCAAAAGCTTTGCCTCTTGACCTTTACAGTGAAACAAATTCTTTCTTGGCACTGATCCTCCTGTCAGCCTGAAGCTGAATCATGTTGGAAGTGCCATAATGGAGTGAGTAAGGACGGCTCCAGCATTGGCAGCTGCTTCCAAACCGGAAATTTTCACGCTGCTGGATTGAATTTTTTCTTTACTCATAAGAGGGGTCAAGTGGAATCTTCCCAGTAGTGCCATTCAATCTGTTTTGCCCCCTATTTCTTTTTTTTGTGCCCCTTTGATAATAAGCTCAGACAGAGACTGCGTACGTTTGTGGCTGAATGGCAGTGACTCACTAGCCTGTTTTCAGTCCCTATTCTCACTTTCCAGTATGCTGATGAATCCCTAGCCCCACGTCACAGTGTTGGAGGCCTGCCTGAAACTGCCCTACACAGCATGGTGCTAATGTTACAGCTTGGCTAGGGTGCACTGCTGATATTTTTGTCAAGAACTCTTCTGATATTTTGGCTCTTTAAAAAAAACAGTGAATGTGTGTCATACATTTAAAATTAAAGCCACCACAAGACCCAAAATATTTATTCCCTACATACTAAATGTGTTGACCTGAGCGTTAGCGCACGGATCACTGCATTCCAAGGGGAAAGAGAGTCTGTGACATGCTGGCGGGAACCGCAAAGTGACAAGTGACGCCCCCTCCCCCCGCCCTTGATAATCTACCACTGGTGCTCTCCCATGTGCGACTGTTGAACCATGTGGTTGAAATGGTGTGGGGGTCAATACAAGTACAAATTTAAACACAGCCACTGTGGAAGGCTACACGCACACACTATAGGGACCATACAATCCTCCCTCTATATATAATCCTGGTGCGACTGACTTATCCAAACAGAGCTGGCTGAATCGCTCGCAAACAAGTCATAGGTTGTTAAAAGCAATATGGTTGCTTTTAATGAACTTTTGGTAAAGTAAAAATAAAGAAAGGTGCACCTACGTCTCTTTGCATTGCCTGTGCTTAATACATATGTGCAAAGCGAATGTTGGGATTCAGTGTAGCAAGCATTTTCTTCTTACTTAACAGAGCAAGCGCTTTATTTTTGACTGACATAATGAATAAAATAAATCTTTTTTTAAATTTGTTTATCATCATGTTATATTTTCTATGAAGACAAGTCAAGCTTTTTCTACATGACCCTGGAATCCAACCATCAGAGTGTGAAATTATTCTCATCCACTAACATAGGAATGAATTAAATATAAGAAGCATACATCCTGTTTACGATTGCCTTGTTACTTGATGATTGAAAGCATATTACTTTTATCTTCTTTTTTTGCATTTGCCCCCATTTTTTCACCAATTGATATTGTGTTATCGTCACAGTGCATTGTCCTCTTTCCTGCTAAACCTATTGCTAACCAAACACTTACTCAGATACACATACAGAAGAGTTTCACTGGAAGGGAATGTCGCGCAGTCACATATTTACAGGCCTAGATTGCACATTTTAGACACATCCACTTCCTGTTTATGGAAGTCCAAGGCTGCAATGAGCCTGTCTTAAGAAGCATTTTTACTGAATCATTTGGACTATAGCTAAAAAAGTGTAAACTGTTGCTTTAGTCCATGCTCCACATTTGTGGGGTGCTCATTTTACTCAGTAAGGTTGCCTATTATATCACTATGTGAAACAAGCCATGAAAACAACTCAAAACTAAATAGTTGTATAACTATTCAACAACATATCAGTGTAAGTTTAATACACTTGAAGTAATTTCAAATGATTGTTTATGAACAAACTGTCATGTTTATTTTTGAATATTACACTTCTGGTCTAAGGGGCGACATAAGAGCTTATCCCAGGACCTCAGGAGCTGTACGAGGAATGTACAAAGACATTTGAAACGGGTCATGTTATCTCCCCATGAAATCTGTTGCAAGCACTTTACGGCCGTCCCTCGCTCAGGGTCCGCCAGTCTGTTCGTGAGTATGAAGACAAATGTATTCACATCAGAGATGTACATTAAGTATTATATTTTAAAGCATATGCAAAACTTATGTTGCATGCCAAATATAATTTTTAACTGTATGTTCATGGTAAGAAAACGGCACCAACATTATTTAAGACATTTTAAGACTAATTAAGGTGTTTATTAAGGTTTAGGAATGCCTTTTGAAAGATCCAGAAACCCTGAACTTCATGTTGTCAAAAACATTGTTTTTAAAGGTCACATGTCATGGCCATTTCCACTGATCATAATTCCATTGTTGAGGTATACTAAAATAGAAAAATACTGTGCAATTTTCCAAACTCACATTGGTTTCGCATACAGCATCTCTGTAAAGTATGTGTGTTCAGCAGTATTCACTTTCTCCACTAAATGGCTCGCTGCAGCTCCTCCCCCTCCCCCCCTACCTCCGTGATTTCCTTGTTTAGCGATACACAGCCAAACTCAACCTGAACACACACAAAGTCACAGCCGAAATAAAAACAATAAGTGTGGCTTGATATTGAGTAAGAAAAAGGTTTATAGGTTGATAAACGCTGTGAGAATGGGTCTGCAGAGAGAATTTCGCACAATCCCAACTGTCTGTTATCAGCCTGCAGCACGGAGCAGAAATCAGCAGGGCTGCCTGCACTGAGTGAGTGTGTGTGTGTGGATTGGTCAATTTGGACCAATCAGCAGGGGCTTAACGTAACGGCTCCACGGATTGGCCCATTTAGTTCCGGGTACGTGCTTTCGTAAGCACGTACCCGGAAGAATCAAATGGATGATGACGTCATGATGAAGTTTCACCAACGAGGCGTTTTGGGGAGGTATTTTCTGTTTTAGAGTTTTACTCGCTACAGGGTGTACTTTGAGGGTTTTGACTCTGCACACCGTTTACATGCAGAAAACCTTCATAACACACAAGGGGACGGGTAATAACCGGAAACGCATGACATGGGACCTTTAAGGTTGCAGGTGTTACTAATCGCAAACTATATATCTTCTTCACTCATCATAGAGCACTGTTGACATGAATGCATCTTATCAGCCGTGGTTAAGTTTAATCAAATTATGCTCTTACCTGGAAAAGCCTTTCCCACACACTGAACAAACGTAAGGCTTGTGGACCCCCCCGTCATGAGAGCGAACGTGGTAGGTCATGCGGTCCTTCCTCTTAAAGCGTTGCTGGCAGATGGGGCACTCGAAAGGCTTCTCGTCCGAGTGGGACAGCTTGTGGCGGTTCAGGTGGTAGACATCGCGAAAGGCCTTGCCGCACATCTCACACCCGTGGTTCTTCTTGACCGGTTTGGCGGGTTTCTTGGGGGTGTTTTGCTGTTGCATGTTGCCCATTGCAGACGACGTCATGATGCTCGCACCCGAGGAAACCGAAGTGGTCGCCGTGGAGAGGATTCCCGCCACCGTGGAGATGTAGGAGGGGTGGCCGTTGTGGTCTCGTGACATGGTGGAGATCATGGGTACCATGGTCGGGGCTGACTGGGCGGTTTTCTTTGGCCGCGACACCATCTTGATGCCAGTGTGGCTGGATTCATGGCGCCGCAGGTGGTAGCTGTCGCGGAAGGCCTTGTTGCAGTAGCCACAGACGAACGGCGTCTTGCCTTTGTGTTCCTTCTTAATGACGGGAACTTGTGGCCGTCCGCCTCCTCCGCTGGCCACATTGTCTTTAAGGAGTTCTGCAGCGCTGGTCGGGGGCTTCTGTTCTATGTGGATGGGCAGGATAGGCTTCTGGTCAATTTGTTCGACTCCTGCATTGAGAAGTGGCAGCAGGCTGTTCTGGGCCACATGATGCTGGTGGTGGAGGGCTTCATTGGCCTGCTGATGAAGCAAACAGACACACAGAGATGAATATTTGGTTTTTTCTTGAATTAAAACTAGCATTTGACATGAAAGCAAATAAAACTGAAGGTAGGGCTGGGCAATATATCACTATATAGATATTGTGATTCAAGACAAGATAATTTCTTTTGAATATTGTCATATCCCAAATGTTGTCTTTTATTGTTTTAAAAGGCTGCATTACAGTAACGTTATGTAATTGTTTCTGAATCTGGCAGTGTTTTAGCTCTTCTATTATTGGCCTTTCCCACTCAGTCAATAAACTCAAAATTCCAAGCCTGCATAAGAATGACCAAATATACAACAAGTGTTAAGGACAGTACCATCAATGGAGGTTGGTCTGAAGGCTTAGTAACATGTTATAAAATGCAAAATGGACACTGGATCTGGCGTTAATTAAGTGATGCCTCATAGTGGATTGGGATCGAAATATGCAGGATGAAAAATGATCCCCATCATGACAGTGCTGATTCGTCATGTGACTGCAAAGCAAGCATACCAAAATAAGAGGCAAAGCCGAGTCCAGTGCTGGCCATCAGCTCAGCAAAGCAAGGAAGCAAGGAAGCAAGGACACACACACACACACACACACACACACACAC